GGTGGTGCTTCCGAAGTTTTGTGAGCAGACGGAGCAGAAGAAAAATTCAGTGCCAGAGTTTGACGTGGAACAGGCAGCAGCTGGTCAAGCTGGCTTGGAGCAGAAAGCTGTTGTGAAGAAGAAAGAAGAAGATGTTAGACAACAAAGAGGTGTAGAAGTTCAGAACCTTGTGGAGCAGCCATCAAGAGGAGCCGTATACCCAGGCCAAAGTTTGCACTTGAAGGTGGCTGGTGTGAAGTTGGTGAAGAGACGAGGAAGTGTGTTTCTCAGGTTTTGGTGGGACAGAGGCAAGCTGGTTTCATCCTTTGTAGCTCTGTAGGAGTAGAGGAAGTAAGTAGTAAAGCAGCAAAACTGAAAGCCGTCCAAGAGAAGTCGTGGCTGTTTCAAGTCGGATGTTTAAAGTTTCGAGAAGAGGCGTTTGTGCAACTGATCTCGGGAAGAAGCTGGTCAAATTCAGATCACAAGACTTTGAGGAAGCAGCTCAAACTTATGAAGAGGAGGAAGAGGAGGAGGAACCGCATGAGGGAACAGCTACCCACGATGCAGCAATGGAGCAGTGACTGCGGGACGCAGCACAAGGCAGTCGTGGGAGAGTGGAGAAGGGAGAAAAAGACAAGCTCGAGGATTCAAGCTTAGGAAAGTAAACTTGAGAGGTTCAAGGTTAGGACTGTATTCCTAACCTTGACGTGAGCAGTAGCGACTATAAAAGTAGGACTTAGAATGTTTTTAGACTTATCCCTAATACAAAATACATTGCAATACATCGTCATTCTGCCTATCTCTTTGGCTATTCACAGCAATGTCTTACTTACCCACCGCCTTCAAGGGATCAAAGGCATGGGACTAGCACCTTCAAGCACATGTTCACAGTCTCTATTTGGCTTGGCTCAAGCAGGTAAGTGCATTCATTTTGTAGTGTAGTTTTAGAGTTAGGGACTAGATTAGATTTGAAACTCCTAGGAAGATCTCGTGTGGACGTTTCCTCCCAGTTTAGAGATTCCAGGAGTTTTCAACGGCCATGCACCACCACCCATAGAATCTAGAAAGAGCTCTCAATCTGTCAATTCTTACTATGTCTAGACCTGATAAGTTTCCCCGTGTTGAGTCAAATTAAGCCGCAAGCTCCACTCCTGGTGGTGCCCAAGATCTGCAAAGTTGTAGATCCTAATGCCCCCGACAAAAACCAACAAAAACCGCCCAATCTGAGCCAAGGTCTGCGAGATATCAATGATTCAGTGATAGGTGCATCTGAGCCGTCGATCCCGGCCAAGATTCGACGGCCGTGGATGAGTTTTGAGGTGGTAGGTTAAACTAGAGCCTCGCTGCTAGGGAAAGCCAATTCAGGGAACGTTTCTTTCTTCAAAGATGTAGATCCTGGTGTCCCCGTCAAAACGAGATCCAACGGCCGTGGATTCGCGGTAGGTTTCCCTGTCATGGGAATTCCGAATTAAGCCGCAGGCTCCACTCCTGGTGGTGCCCTTCCATCAATTCATTTAAGTTTCAGCCTTGCGACCATACTCCCCCCAGAACCGAAAGAGTTTGATTTCTCATGAGGTGCTGGCGGAGTCATCCAAATAACATCCGCCAATCCCTAGTCGGCATCGTTTATGGTTGAGACTAGGACGGTATCTGATCGTCTTCGAGCCCTCAACTTTCGTTCTTGATTGATCAAAACATCCTTGGCAAATGCTTTCGCAGTAGTTCGTTTTCCATAAATCCAAGAATTTCACCTCTGACAATGGAGTACGAATGCCCCCAACTGTCCCTGTTAATCATTACTCCGATCCCGAAGACCAACACAACAAGACCAAAGTCCTATACCGTTATTCCATGCTAATGTATTCAGAGCATAAGCCTGCTTTGAGCACTCTAATTTTTTCAAAGTAACATCGCCGACTCCGCGCCCCAGCCAATGAAGTCCAGGGCAGCGTCCCCGACTAAAAGAGTAAGGTGAACAAGTGCACACTCATAAGAGCGGACCGCTCACCTCACTCCAAGATACAACTACGAGCTTTTTAACTGCAGCAACTTTGATATACGCTATTGGAGCTGGAATTACCGCGGCTGCTGGCACCAAACTTGCCCTCCAATGTATCCTCGTTAAGAGATTTAGATTGTACTCATTCCAATTACCAGACTATATAAGCCCGGTATTGGTATTTATTGTCACTACCTCCCCGTGTCGGGATTGGGTAATTTGCGCACTTGCTGCCTTCCTTGGATGTCGTAGCTGATTCTCATGCTCCCTCTCCGAAATTGAACCCTAATTCTCCATCACCCGTCACGACCATGGTAGGCCTCTATCCTACCATCGAAAGTTGATAGGGCAGAAATTTGAATGAAGCATTGCCAGCACAAAGGCTGTGCAATTCGACAAGTTACCATGAATCACCGAATAAACGAGCAGAAGCCCGCATCAGCCTTGAATCTAGTAAGTGCATCCCCTCCAAAGGAAGGGATTTGGTGCACGTATTAGCTCTAGAATTACTACGGTTATCCGAGTAACAAAGTACCATCAAATAAACTATAACTGATTTAATGAGCCATTCACAGTTTCACAGTACAAAGCAGTTTATACTTACACATGCATGGCTTAATCTTTGAGACAAGCATATGACTGCTGGCAGGATCAACCAGGTAACTAGCTTTCGAAGACCAACTCTTAGGTAATAAGCTGGATATCTCTAAGTTAGAGCCACAAGTGCACACTCACATAGTTTATTTTTATGTTATACATAAATATGTAAGTCAAAGTTATTTTTCTAAATTACTATTTTGTTTGCCAAAGGATTTCACAAAATAGAATTTATTTGATTTATTATTGTTGGGGTTCATTATACATGTGCAACATAATATGCAATTCAAGTATTAAATATTACATCTGAATTGCAACCTTTTTAAATAAATAATTTGTTATAAATTAAACATTATTAAAGTGAATTAACTGAGTAAGATTTAAATTCAAGGTTTGTTTGATTTATTGGGGCAAGTGAGAATCTAATAAATCTCAGTAAGTAATGTTATTAGTAAATTAAAAATAAAATTTAGCTATTGAATTATTGTAGTGGTCTTAGATTAATTGTCGGGACGTAAGTCCTAATTATAAAATATGTTTATCCACAACATGTTTGAAAAAGATTATAAAATTAATAAGATATAATGTTTCATGTTGTTGAAATTTTCTGACATTATTTTAATAGATTTATAATCATTTAGTGATACAACACTTAATAACTTGAAAGCTATTTACAGAAATCATAATTTTGTTGATCTCTTTAAGAATCATGTTTACAGGTCTCTACTCAGTGACTGAAGAGGCATTTACATGACTCCATGGTACAAACACATTTGCTTTATGCTCATTGTAAATAACTTAGCTGAACTTAAAGAATGTATATTCAGTGTTTACAAGTGCAATTAATTTTGTATCAAGTTATACACACTTTACTAGATCAATGATTGGATCCCCTCATAATGTGTGAATGAATGTAATTGTTTGATTTTCCATCTCGGCAACATCATTACTTGTTGGACCATGATCAAACCTTATTATCTGAGTGTGACCTCCACTTGTTAATCTTAAATTTTATTTAATACAGAATCAGTTCACCTGATGAATGAACAAAACAAAGGCAAGTTCAAATATAATCAAATAAATAAAACTATTTTCTAAAGGTAATATTCGTGTGATAGTTTAAAAATTTATTAAATCATTCATCCATAATAATGAAATTGTTACGCACTTATTACGCACCGACGTAACAGAAATTCTGATTATAAGAGAATTAAATATAGAAAGACAAAGAGAAGAAAATATTTAAAAAGTCAAGATAAAAAAGTTCATGTCCCGAGAGGAGGGCGTTCACATTATTTTAATTATAGTAAATTAAATTTAACTAGTAAGGGGTCATATTTTTAAGAATTAAAATAATTAACTAATATCATTTTAAATTTTTATTTATTAAACATCAAAAATTTAATAATGTTTTATTTGAATTCAGTTCATGCAACTAATAATCCTGTCATTTATTCCCTGCAACAAATGGTTCTTGAATAATTTTATTTGAATTCAGTCCATGCAATTAATAATATAGTTGTTTAAGACATTTGAGCATTACTTGTTCAAGCAAGAATTTCTAAAAATGGTGAATTCCTATGCTCAGAATTTCAGATGAATAAAAAGTCTTTAAGAAGATAACAAAAATTCAGGATATAATAAATTTATTTTAAAGATGATTATTATTGGGATGGATTTGATTTTGATATGTTCATTGATTTGTCAATTAATTAAAATCTTATTAGTGATATGAGATGAATATAAAATTCAGTATTCAATTGGATATGGGACAATAAGAGGTAAAACCTTCACTCTAGTGCAGGGCGGCGGTAGCTCATAACTGCAAGACCTTGGATTGTGCTTATGAGACTTTTATCTCTAGCTAATATTGATGAAGATCATTTTCATTCAATTCACATGATATTAAATTGGAAGTGTTTATGTCAGTGGAACTCCTGTTTTAAGAAGTATAAGAAATGCTGCAATATTGAGAGACTTTAATGTTTGGTGAAGCCCATCCCATTGATTCTATCGCCATCGATACTGTCTGAACACATATTATTTTCAGATAGTCCTTATTTTATTTAGAGTAAATTAAATTTAACATGTATCTCTAACAAAGACCGGATTCAATCTAGTCGATCTGTAGGTCAATCTCTTCCCGTTATGCAAAACTTAGCACTTGTCTTTTACACCGCACTGGATGGTGGGGATGATGCGCGTTAGATGATCACTACAATTTTGGCTTCCTTTTATGTTATATAAAGGAGGATAGGATATAGGGTTAAGCATTCTGGTTCAACGCCAGTCTAGGAACTAAGCCTTTTTGTCTTGTCCTTATTCTTCTCCAGTAATCAAGTTCAGCTTGTTTCCGGTCCCTGCGGCTTGGTTCCTGACAGTTTGAATCAGAATCCCTTCTTGCTCTTGTCTTCAAGTTCTCGGCATGGTTTCGATCGAGCAACTCATGCAGCAACTCCAGCAGTTACAACTCGAGAATCAACGACTCCAGCAGGTCTTACAACAATCATCGTCTACATCTCGTCCTCCAGAACCAAAAGTCAGCTTACCAGCCAAGTTTGATGGCAAACGCTCTCAATTTCGGGGTTTTGTGAATCAAGTCAAGTTGGTGTTTCGTCTCCATTCTCATTGGTACCTGACAGTGGCTTTACAAGTGGGTCTCGTGGGAACTCTCCTCACCGGGTCAGCTTTGAAGTGGTTTGCTCCTCTACTTGAGAAGGATTCAACGTTACTTGATTCATGGAATGCTTTTTACCAAGAGTTTGAAGCGGCTTTTGGTGACATGGATCGCGAGCGCACGGCGTCAAACAAGCTTCGATGACTTCGTCAAAGTTCCCGTTCCGCCTCCGAGTTTCGGCAAATAGCTTGCGACATTAGTTGGGACAATGCGGCTCTCCGCAATCACTTCCGTGAACGTCTTCGAGACGATGTCAAGGATCTACTCATTACGTTCGCCGACCCTGACTCTCTTGAGAATGCCATCGCCCAAGCAATTTGATGCGACAATCAGCTCTTCAAACGGCGTCAAGAGAAACGATCACGGTCCGCCCTCCGAGTTTCGGTTCAACCAAGTCAGGGTTCTAAAGAAACTACAACCCCACCTCAAGAAACTGAGCCGATGTAAGTTGATACGCTTCGTCCTCGTGGTCCCCTCAGTCCCACCGAGAAACATCGAACCCTTCAAGCCAATTTGTGTCTATATTGTGGTGGAGCGGGACATCGGATTCCTGGGTGCCCTAATCGGCAACGCATTCAAGCTCGGGTTGTGGATGCTCCCTCCGTCGAGTCGGGAAAAGAGGAGGTCCAGTCTGAATAGGAGCATTTCGGCTGGACAGGCGTAAGTCTGCTCCGAAAAGTTCGCCCTCGGAAGTTGCCCTATCTTCGATTCCGGCCACTAGCACTAGTAAGCCCTTTCTTTGTCAAATCCGAATTTCTAGCTCCGACGGTTGTCAAATTCATGTTGCGGCACTCCTCGACAGTGGCGCCACTGGCAATTTGATTGATCGACATTTTATCTTATAACATAATCTGAAGCTTCGTCTCCGTTCTGATCCAATTGGGTTGACAGTTGCGGACGGTAGGCCTATGACATCCAGCGATATTACTGAAGAAACGGTGCCTCTCAAGGTCTCCCTCGGTAGTATCTCATGCACGGTTTCCTTCAACATCACTTCAATTCCTGACACTCTTCCTGACACTCAACGGTCAACTCTCGGTCAACGGTCGTCGGTCAGATCGTCACACCACCTCCCCTCCTTCGAGAGCCGAGCTTGTTCGGATACCTACGATGAAAGTCGGTGACGGCATCGTGAGTGTGTTGCAGCTGAGCAGCAGATTCCTAAAAGCGTTCACTTGGCGGGTAACCAACCCAATCGACTAGATAGTAAAGGTGTCATCGAATGAACTTCGAATCCAGAATCTCGTTGACCTCATACTCCAAGTCGTTGTCGATGGTGACGGGAGCAGGTGGTGGAGGTGTACGACTAGGAAGAGTATTTGGATAATAAGGTTCGAGTAGCGAGACGTGGAAGACCGGATGGATGTGCATCGAGGAGGGAAGCTCCAAACAATAAGCCACATCGTTGATCTGGGCAGCCACCGGGAACGGATCGAGGCGTTGGTAGTCAAACTTCTCACAAGGGCGAGTAGTCTTGATGTTGTGCCGAAGAAGCTAAACTTGATCACCCACCTGATAAACTGGACCATCCTTTCGATACCGATCGGCAGCAATTTTTTGATATTCTTGTGCCTCTATAAGGTGTTGGTGTAGCGTAGACTTGACATATTGGAGTTGTGCGAGCCGATCTTCGGCAAATGGATTTACTGAGCTCCCGGATGTGTCAAAATTCCAGCGTGGATGATATCCCGTCAAGGTGTAGAAAGGAGAGACACAGGTTGAAGCATGCTTCGTGTTGTTGTATGAGAACTCTACTAAAGGAAGTAGTGTCAACCAATCATCCCGCTGATAATTGATGAAGCAGCGTAAATACTGCTCGAGGGTCTGAATTGTACGTTCAGATTGACCGTCGGACTCAGGATGATAGCCGGAAGATAATGATCGCTTAATTTTGAGAAGCTCGAGAAGTCGTTGCCAGAACTTGACAATGAATTGCGGTCTACGATCGCTTACAATGTTGTCGGGAAGGCCATGAAGTCAGAAAACACCGTTTATAACCAAGTCAGCTGTATCCTCATAAGAGGTAGTCTTTGTGCACGGTAAGAAATGAGCCATCTTGGTGAGGCAATCTAGAACCACGAGCACAGTGTCAAACCCTTGAACTGGTGAAAGGTCAGTCACAAAGTCCATCGAGATACAAGACCAAGGTGTAGTCGGAGCTGGAAGCGGTTGAAGAAGACCATACGGACGATGACGAGGAATCTTGGCACAGGCACAGATGTCATAGGTACGGATAAACTCTTCCACGGATTGTCGAAGACGAGGCCACCAAAAGTTACGACTGATTACCTCCACTATTTTTGTAACGCCAAAGTGCCCAGCAAGTGGAGTGTCATGATGAGACTGCAGCACTTGAAGGCGAGAATTACCTGGTGGAACGTAAACCAAGTCCCTACAAAGAAGTAAGCTGTCGGAGAACCGGAACTGATCATAGTTGCATCGAGAATTGGAAGTAGCATTGCCAGCAAGATGACCCAAGACGTCCTAGGCTAACGTATCGGAAACAAGATCGGAACGGATCTGGTCAAAGTGACTGGAGTCGGAAGGCGTAACATGAAATGCAAGAGCTTGAAGATATTCTGGGTCGAGTACCACTTGTTTCTGCTGATCAAACTCAATATCATCAGCTTGCGGGGCCAAATATGCTCGTCGAGAGAGCATCTGACTGAACCTGCTGGCTACCAGGACGATACTTGATCTCAAAGTCAAAACGAGAGAGAATCTGGTGGGTCCAATGAGCTTGACGTCCATTGAGAACTTGAGCTTGAGTGAAGTACACCATATTGCGATGGTCAGTGAAGACAGTGACCTTGTGCGGTGAACCTTCAAGAAACCGGCACCATTCCTGGAAACAGTCCACAATGGCAAGAAGTTCCTTGTCATGGATCTCGTAGTTGATCTCGGCAGCAATAAACTTCCGAGAATGGAACGCCACAGGATGAAGTTCTTTGTCGGAGCCATACTGAAACAGAATACCTCCTAAGGCGAAATTAGATGCATCTGTCTCCATCACAAAGGGCTTGGTCGGATCAGGATGAAGTACAATCGGAGTAGAGGTGAAGGCAAACTTGAGCGTGATAAACGCATTTTCAGCTGCCATAGTCCATACGAAAAGAACGTCCTTCTTGGTGAGTTGGTGCAATGGAAGTACAATCTCAGAAAAGTCCTTGATGAAACGTCGGTAGAAGTTGGCAAACCCCAGAAAACACTGAACATCACGGGCAGTCTTTGGAGATTCCCACTCAAGCACTACAAGAACCTTTGCAGGATCCATAGAAATACCACATAACTCAAAAACTCGACCTGATTTTGGTGGAATTGGCATTTCTCTAACTTGACGTAAAGACCATGTGGAGGAAGTCGTGCTAGCACTTGACGAAAATGTTGCTGATGGTCCTCCTTCGTCTTCGAAAAAATCAAGATGTCATCCAAATAAATAATAACAAACCAATCGAGGAAGTCACGAAAAACATCATCCACTCATCACCAGGACGGATACGAATCAAGTTGTAAGCGCCGCGAAGGTCGATCTTCGTGAAATATCAAGCACCATGTAAACGTTCGAGAATCTCAGAAATCAATGGAAGCGGATACCGGTTGCAAATTGTGATCCTGTTGAGCTCGCGATAATCAACCACGAGCCAAAGAGAGCCATCCTTCTTCTTAACAAAGAAGATAGGAGCACCTGCAGGGGACTTGGAGTGGCGAATGAAGCCATTAGTGAGATTGTCGTTGATATACTCGTGTAGAGCGTTTAACTCGACTGGAGATAAACCGTAGATCGGGCCAAACGGAGGTGTCTTGCCATCCATAGTGTCAATCGGGCAATCATAAGGACAATGTTCAGGAAGTCGGCTAGCTTGGACCTTGTCGAAAACATCAATAAAATCTTGGTATACCATCGGGAGAGCACTTGGAGCAGATGTAGTAGGAGTTGAAGCTGGAGTCACCATCATGGCAAAGACCATGTTAGGTTGAGTACAACCGGCACGAACAAATTTTTGCCAATGAGATGAGAGAAATACGGATCGGAAAACTTGTCGAAGTCGAAATCAAAGCTGGAGTTGTTGTCGTCAGAGTTGGAACTGAGGCGACCACGATACAAGTTATCCAATCAATCTCCGGATTGAAAGCCTCAAACCAAGGAAGACCAAGAATAACCAGAGTGTCAGGAATTGAAGTGATGTTGAAGGAAACCGTGCATGAGATACTACCGAGGGAGACCTTGAGAGGCACCGTTTCTTCAGTAATATCGCTGGATGTCATAGGCCTACCGTCCGCAACTGTCAACCCAATTGGATCAGAACGGAGACGAAGCTTCAGATTATGTTATAAGATAAAATGTCGATCAATCAAATTGCCAGTGGCGCCACTGTCGAGGAGTGCCGCAACATGAATTTGACAACCGTCGGAGCTAGAAATTCGGATTTGACAAAGAAAGGGCTTACTAGTGCTAGTGGCCGGAATAGGGCAACTTCCGAGGGCGAACTTTTCGGAGCAGACTTACGCCTGTCCAGCCGAAATGCTCCTATTCAGACTGGACCTCCTCTTTTCCCGACTCGACGGAGGGAGCATCCACAACCCGAGCTTGAATGCGTTGCCGATTAGGGCACCCAGGAATCCGATGTCCCGCTCCACCACAATATAGACACAAATTGGCTTGAAGGGTTCGATGTTTCTCGGTGGGACTGAGGGGACCACGAGGACGAAGCGTATCAACTTACATCGGCTCAGTTTCTTGAGGTGGGGTTGTAGTTTCTTTAGAACCCTGACTTGGTTGAACCGAAACTCGGAGGGCGGACCGTGATCGTTTCTCTTGACGCCGTTTGAAGAGCTGATTGTCGCATCAAATTGCTTGGGCGATGGCATTCTCAAGAGAGTCAGGGTCGGCGAACGTAATGAGTAGATCCTTGACATCGTCTCGAAGACGTTCACGGAAGTGATTGCGGAGAGCCGCGTTGTCCCAACTAATGTCGCAAGCTATTTGCCGAAACTCGGAGGCGGAACGGGAACTTTGACGAAGTCGTCGAAGCTTGTTTGATGCCGTGCGCTCGCGATCCACGTCACCAAAAGCCGCTTCAAACTCTTGGTAAAAAGCATTCCATGAATCAAGTAACGTTGAATCCTTCTCAAGTAGAGGAGCA